CTTACTTGGTCTTTTTGTCTACATATATATCAACTATACCAAAACCTTATTTTGGGTCACACTTGACTGTGCTCAGAGGCTACTCCTGACTCAGAGCTTTGGAGTTACTTCTGGTGATGCTCAATCAACCAATTCATACAAGCATGCACTTCTCCTCTGCTGGCCCCAAACCTCCCTCTGTAACCTTGGTTGTGACTCCCCCATGGGTTGTAAAAAGTCTGTTTCAAAATAAATTTGTGATTTATTATCAGTAAATATTTGATTTGTATACCCATATTATATATTCAGGGTCACATAAAAAATCCTTGAGCAAAAGGAAGTTGAGAGTGGAAAAAAAATTTCAGTAGCTTAAATTTGGATTTAAAATAGGAGATGATAGCCACACAACTAAATGTTTCTTCTTCTGATTTGCTGCTATCAGCTCACAAAGTCCACAAGGAAATAAAAAACCAGGAATGAGAAAGGAAAGGAGTAGGCGTGAAACAGGAAAGCTGTGAAAGAAGGGTGTGTCAGGGAGAGAAGCAAGGAGGCGGGACAAGGACAATGAGCCTGTCAGAGAGGTGGACAGGAGAAGCAGCTCATCACACTCTCCACTGTCATGTTCCTGAGCAATCAGGGTATGCTTCTCATGGAAAGACACTAAGAGAGAACTTGGTTCCAGATCAGGGAAGATCCCATTTTCGTATAGTTCCATATGGAGTACTCACTCAACTCAGCAAACTTGAAGGAGAGACGAATTAGGAAGAAAAGGATCTTTGCAGATGTAACCACCTTATCGATGTTGAGATAACAGTGAGCCCTATATTCAGTGGTAAATAATGAGACAGAACAGGAAATGATGACAATGGACAGAGAAGGAGATGAACTGGTGAAGCACTGATCAGCCACTAGGGTTGGTTAGCCATGGTGGCAGAGTCTACAGAAGTGATAACTGGCATCACTTTTGAAACACTTTACTTTTCTATTTCTGGATTATAGAATTATGATAGAATAATATTTATATCTTTAGTTTATAGAGGTTATGATAGCATTCTATACCGTATGTATAGGAAATGTGCATATTAGCTATATTCCTTCTCTACTGATGAAAGAGTATATGGAACCTGCCAAATAATAAAACAAATAGCTTAATTTTCCCCCTTGTCCTTCTGTTTCCATTAGAATGGTCACCTATTTTTGCAGATTACATCATTTAACACACTCACACAGTCACACAGTTGTACACTGGGCAGAAATCAATGCCCAGAATAATCAGAGTGCTTAGAAATCAAGAAACCATCTATAATCTAAAATCTAGAAATCATTTGCCTCATTTTAAATTATTTAATATAATATTATAGCATAATAGAATAACATGTACACATTTTAAATGGCAAAGAATTGAAGACAGCTTGCCCTCATTTATTCTGAGAGATCATTTATAAATGACGTGTAGCTTCTAATGTCACTTCATACATAGCTGCTTGGAAATATTAAAGTATCAATGCTAAGAAAAATAAGAAACGAAATAATGCTTGAAGTCATAAAGAAGGGGATGAGAATACGTTCCTATATGCTCTTTGGTTCAGCAGTTAATTTCAGGATAGTTCAGAAGGTTGCTAAATCTGTTGTAAGCTTGACAAAATATAATGGTATCCAGACTATATTTTTAAACTGAATGAAATTGGAGTTCTTATTTTTCCCCTTTATGTTATGTTCAGGTTCATCCAGAATCAACTTGGCTACAGCTGGAAGCAATTAAGAATATACTGGAAGAATTAGAACCCTAGGAAATTGTTTTTATCTCTAATAGATTGCAGCAGAGTTAAATTGAGAATTGGTCACAAGAGAAAACTTGTCTTGGTGACTCATGTAAATTACTGAAGCTGCTTTAGTTTGGGAAATAGACCTCATTAGTGCTTGACTTCACCTTACCATATCCGCAAGTAACCAAAACCATCACTTATACTAAACTGAAGTTTTTGATAGCATTTCTTTCTAAAAATGAAGCTAACAACACATCTATTTAGTTATAATCTCAAAATCCAGCAGTGAGTATAAGGAAAGTAGGTTGTCACAGTTGAACCTGTCTGCTACGGAATCATGGGTAAAGGTTATTCATAGGTAATGAGGACTCATCAGTATGTACAGCTGGAATCTCCACCTGTCTGCTGAACTTCAGATACCTGCTCTTCAGGGGAACAGAGAGTTCTTGTGACTGATCTCCAGGACTGTTCATTTCTGAGGTTCCAGAAGGCATTTATTTCAGACAGCAGGCTGTAGATCACTAGAATTTCTAGGAGGATTCTGATTCTCACCCACTGTAATTTCTTCATTTAAACAAACATAGGAACTAGGATGGTTAAGGGTTAAATTGATTACTCCAAACCCAACTTTCAAAGTAGTATAGGTTTTAACCAACTTTGCATTAAACGAAACTTCACCATGAACTGAAATATAAAACATTTTTGTACCTTTGAAAACATGTATATTTGAATAAAAAGGAATTATATTTTTGCAAAAATACATTGAAAGCAAATATTTGAAAGAGCAAAAATACAATCTTTAGAAAAGGATCTTGTAACTTTATAAAGCTTTCCTATTTTTCCAGTTTTTTGTCATGTTATATCATGTTATTTTTTTTTTTAGATTTTTATTAGTGAAACACCATGAGGTACAGTTGTAGAGTTGTCATGTTATATTCTGACACTTTCTTTTTTAAAAAAATTTTTTTGCTATTTTCATACATTTTATTTTCATAAATTAGTTCACAATAGTTCATCACAGATAATATTCAAATAGCCCCCCTACCAGAGAGAATCTTTCCACCACAATAAGAGGGAAGTGTGTCGGGGGCTGGAGAGATAGCACAGCAGGTAGGGCATTTGCCTTGCACGCGGCTGACATGAGTTCAATTCCCAGCGTCCCATATGGTCCCCTGAGCGCCGCCAGGAGTAACCCCTGTGCATCTCCAGGTGTGACCCAAAAAGAAAAAAAAAAGAAAGAAAAAGAAAAAGGGAAGTGTGTAAAGGTTGTTATATTTCATTCTGGAGCCATTTAAGCCCGTATATAAGAGAGTACAGGCATGTTAAAACCAAACAAATGTGTGCTACTTTAGGTATATCAATGGGCTAGAGAATAAGAGGTCGTGGTGGCGTGCTCCAGGAAATATTGCATAGCTCTCTTCCAGGAGCTTTATTTTATAGTCTCTGGATCTTGGCCATTGATGAGATTACATGGCGCCAGGGGCAGTTTTCGGGTGTGAAAGCCAAGCTACTGGAAAACTGAGAAGCTGAAAGAAGGAGACCCAGTCCCAATCCGAGCAGGCTTGGACATCTCAGCCACAGGCCCTGCATATCTGGGTTCCTCTATCAGCTCCTTCATGGGTGAACCTCATCCGGGTGTGTGGAGAGTGGCCTTGAACATGGCTGCAGCTGAGTTTTGGAGGTTTTCAGCTGCCAGGATTTTCTTTGGGAGAGGAGGAAAAGTCAACTCACCCCCCTCCGAGGTGCCCTGGTGAAGACAGCCTGGCGTGGGGTCAGGAGATTCTGCCTCTGACACTTTCTTAATGATTACAACACCATTTCTTCTATGAGTCATTAATTATCATGGCATTTACTGGGAAGAAAACTATGTTGTAAACAGATAAATAAAGAGGTATAGGATTAAGGAGAATAAAACTTGGACCATTCTATCCTGAAGAGATTAGAGAAGGTGTCTAAAGTTGGAAACAAATTTGATTCGAGATGAGCAGTAAAATTTAGCTATTTAGAAAAAGTAAGAAGACATTTTTGGCAAAGGAAATATTACATATCTTTTTAAAAATTCTACTGAAATGTGAAGCAGCCCTAAATATACAGCAAACCATAAGCACATTTTTATCTTCCATTAAATCATGGAAGAATTGTGGGAGTTGGGGCTGAAGAGCTGCTAGTTATTAAAATTTTTGTAACAATTCTAAAAAGTATGGCCTTTAAAGTTTAGATAATGGGCACTGAATATTAGGATAAAGTATTAAAAATTGTCAGTAGTAAATTTTAGATTATTCATTCCAGGAAAATTATAAATAGGAATTCAAGTGGGAAAAGATTGTAGCTGATGACCCAAAAAATTTGATGAAGAGAAATGGGTTAAAATAAGGGAGAAATACAAAATTTTAAAGAATCAAGATGAAAATATCTTGATTAATTGATTTCTTCTCTGCTTTAAAAAAATCTCAATGAATGATTAGTTCTATCCACCAAGTCAACTGAAATATACAAAAAGATTGTGAGTACATTATTGGCTAGAATTTATGGTGCTTATGGGATATCCACAATGAGGAGTTTAGCAATATCTAAATGTTTAATACATAAGGCAACATGTACATTAGGCAGTTAGGAATTTAATCAGGATGGGAGACATTCAGATTTGAAGCTCATTATTAGTGGCAATAAAAAATATTTAGAGGGCCAGAGCAACAGCACAGCGGGTAGGGCGTTTGCCTAGTACACAGCTGACCCAGGTTCGATCCTCAGCATCCCATATGATTCCTCAAGCACCGCCAGCAGTTAATTCATGAGTACAAAACCAGGAATAACCCCTGAGCATCGCTGGATGGGACCCAAAAAGAAAAAAAAAAAAAGAGAGAGAGAGAGAGAGAGAGAGAGAGAGAGAGAGAGAGAGAGAAACCTTAGAAATATCAACAAGCTCCCGAGTCACTGTCTTAACTGAGTTACTTAATTTTCAAGCACACGAAATGGGAATAATGATAGTAACCACTACAATCTTGGTTGTTCGGATTATAAGATTTCTTATCTTAGACAGATAAGAAATGTGACTGAAATGTGAGGAGTATATTATTGTCCTTGAGAGCTGTATTAGTATACATGGCAGCTGTTTATTTAGAAATGTACTGTTCTGAACGAGAAAGGTTGGCAATGAGGGCTAATATGTTTGGAAGTATGTCATTAACATTCATGAACTTTGGGGGACAAAGAGAAAGCATAGCAGGTAAAGAAGGCACTTGGCAGGCCGGGTGGAGCCCTGCGGAGTGGACTGACGCGTTGTGGCGGGTCCGCGTCGCTGGTATCGTGGACGTCCCAAGCAGTGCAGACATGGCTCACCTTAGGGGCTTCGCCAACCAGCACTCCCGCGTGGACCCTGAGGAGCTCTTCACCAAGCTCAAATGCATCGACAAGGGCTCATTTGGGGAGGTGTACAAAGGCATTGACAGCTGCACCAAGGAGGTGGTGGCCATCAAGATCATCGACCTGGAGGAAGCCGAGGACGAGATCGAGGACATCCAGCAGGAGATCATCGTCCTGAGCCAGTGCGACAGCCCCTACGTCACCCGCCACTTTGGCTCCTACCTGAAGAGCACCAAGCTGTGGATCGTCACGGAATACCTGGGTGGTGGCTCTGTGCTAGACCTGCTGAAGCCAGGGCCCCTGGAGGAGACCTACATCGCCACTATCCTGCGGGACATCCTCAAGGGCCTGGACTACCTGCACTCGGAGCGCAAGATCCACCACGACATCAAAGCTGCCAACGTGCTGCTCTTGGAGCAGGGGGCCGTGAAGCTGGCCGACTTCGGGGTGGCCGGGCAGCTCACGAACACGCAGATCAGGAGGAACACGTTTGTGGGCACTCCCTTCTGGATGGTCCCCGAGGTCATCAAGCAGTCTGCCTACGACTTCAAGGCCAACATCTGGTCGCTGGGGATCACCAAGGGCGAGCTGCCCAACTTGGACCTGCACCCCATGTGCGTTCTGTTCCTTATCCCCAAGAACAGTCCGCCCACCCTGGAGGGCCACCACAGCAAGCCCTTCAAGGAGTTCGTGGAGGCCTGCCTCAACAAGGATGCCCAATTCCAGCCCACGACCCGGGAGCTCCTGGAGCACAATTTCATCACGCACTACACCAAGAAGACGTCCTTCCTCACCTAGCTCATCGACCGCTCCAAGAGCTCGTAGTCGGAGGCCCACGCTGAGGAGTCCAGCTCCGAGGACTCGGACATTGACGGAGATGCTGAGGACGGGGATCAGGGTCCCATCTGGACCTTCCTGCCCACCATCCGGCCAGGTCCGCACAGCAAGCTGCACAAGGGGATGGCCCTGCTCTGCCCCCAGAAGCCCACAGAGCCCGTCAAGCGGCAGCGGCGGTCCTAGTGCCTGTCCACCCTGGTCCGGCCCGTCTTCGGGGAGCTCAAAGAGAAGCACAGGCAGAGTGGCCGGGGAGTGGGAGCCCTGGAGGAGCTGGAGAACGCCTTCAGCCTGGCCGAGGAGTCCTGCCCCGGCATCTCCGACAAGCTCATGGCACACCTGGTGGAGCCGGTGCAGAGGTTCTCTCACAACAGAAACCACCTGACATCCAGCCGCTGAGACCAGCCCAGGAGCAGGCGGTGCAGACGGCCCGTGGCCGCGCTGTGGGTGGCAGCCCCCCGCGGGCTGGCCCTCCACAGCCGTGGCCCCTCGGACCTGGCATCGGTGGCCAGGGGTTCTGCCTGTCTCCACTCGCTGCCCGTGACCGTGGCCCTGCCTTGTGTGTTGGATCAGGTCCGTGTCCACGTGCGTGTGCTGGTTGGCCGTTGCTTCCTAAGGGAACTGAACCTCACCCCTCGGTAGCCTGGGTCTAAGGTGGTAGTTTCCTAGAACACCAGAGGCGCTTTCCGCTCTGAATAAAGACCTGAATGGGGGGGGGGGTGCAGAATCTTCCTTTGAGCTAACAGCCTTAGGAAACAACAGAATAGGAACAATCAAAACCAGAATTGAGGACCACCTCTTGGAGCCAGAAGGCTTTCTCCCGACCCAGAGCAGACTGGCCATAGGAAGCAGGGTGCACCCAGCAGAAGAGCTGAGGGGGTGGGGGTGAGAAGGGAGGGGCAGAAACTTCGAGGGCACGTTAGTAGGCTTTCCTCAAATGACCTTGAAACTCAGAAGACTCATTCCTATCTTATAGCTCTGTGCTCCTTAAGATTTGAATAAGGTTTTAAACAGTCATGATACCTATAGACAGAGAGAACAAAATCTCCATTCAACTCTGTCTAATCAGCAAAAGCAGCTACCTAATACCCTCCAGTGCCTTGGGCAGCCTCCCAACAGCTAAAACTCTGCACTTCTTTACTTCGCTTTCCTGCTTTAAAAATTCAAGCACATCATCACTTACAGTTGAAAATGCCTGGTAAACCCATTGGGGAAATGTCTCAAAATGAACAAAGAATTAGTCTTAACATTAGCATTACAAGAATGACCCTTATGAATTTGCTAATTATTTTCCCTTCTGTAGATATTAACAAGGTCTTTTATCTACATTTGCATTTACATATGCTCATAACACACTCATTTGTGTTTTTTGCTTATAAATCATTGCTTCATGACAAACCTCCTAAATAATTGAACAGACTCACTCCAGAGAGTGTAAAGCCAACCTATTCACACCCTCTCCCACTTGCCACCGAGATACACAGGAGAAAGAAAAACACATCAACTCAAAGAGGTGATTCGGGAATCTAATTGTCAGTCCATTTCTGTTGCCATAAATTGAGATTTGCCTGGGCATCTTGCCATATTTTTATTCAATCTTCTATCCCTGCGTTCAGTTCTATTTTCCATTTCTATCATTCAAGTGATGTTGATTTTGTTATGACTCTGGAACAAACTTGCATATGTTTTATTGCTTTTAAAAAATGAATGTGATGTTTTTCCCTAGCGAAGGGCTATAAGAAGCAATAAATTTAATAGCATATCGTTCTAATAATAACTGGTGACCAAGAATGCTGACCACAAGACTGAGTGCTCGTAGATAAAATATATATGTATATATATCCTCTAATATTTTCCTTAGGATCAATTATAACTAAGTCAGCTCTAATTATTTATTGAATAAACATTTATTAAGAATTTAATAAATTGCTAGACCCTGGGGATCTCTGCCTTAAAGATGATACTAAATGCTACGCTGGGCTCTGATGACTTCCAGTAAATTATATAAGCAACAGAATGCTTTGTTTGGACTGTACCCAGTGGTGCTTGGGGGAATCACTCTTGGCAGGGCTCGCAGAGCTATTTGGGTGCCGGGAACTGAACCCAGGTCAGCTGCCTTCAAGGCAGGCAATCCTACCAGTTGTACTATCACTCGACCCACAAAAAAAATTCTGGTCATTAAACAACCAAGGGCATCACCAAATCACAAAGTACAGTGTCAGTCAGAATGCAGAGGCTGGTATCCAAGGGGCTAATAGTCCTGGCAGATGCGAGAAGGCAGCTGGTGACAGGAGGACAATATTAGGCCCAAATGACTGGAAACACAGGAAAGTGTCTCCATTCCAGTTCTGAGGTCAGAGGCAAAGCCTGGGATGTGCCCAGCAAAGACACTGTCCAGCAAAGGCTACATTGTGGAACAGAGGAAGGTTACACAGAAGGGCACAGTGCCAGAGGGCAAATGAGGAGGTGGGGTGACCCGACCTTCCTGAGGATCTCCAATATTTTTTTAAGACATTTTGTTTGAAATCGCTCCGGTTTGAAAAGTTTATAAAACCCTTTTGTTCTGTTCTCAGAAATTCACATAATCTTCGATCCTCTAATGGTGTCTAGGCAATAAAACTTACACAACAACAATGATCATTATTCCCTGAAAAATCAACCCCACCTGCAAGTGACTTCACGGAGCAGCTCTAGGACCACAAGGAGGAGTGGGAGCTCAGTGCAGCCCACAAAATCAGAGAAACCCCGAAGCTAGACACAGTCCTACCACTCCCCGTTACCTTCTGCAAACCAGCCCTTCCTGGCCATCTAGGAGAACACCAGGTAATAGAACATGTTTGTTAGTGTATCAGACTTTCTCACATCTTGCCTTAAACATAAAATGCTTTGTGGTATCTCTAGATAAGTTTATTAATTTTCTTGTAAAGAAAGTAACTTCTATTTTCAAGTTTAGTGCAATAACACTGAATTTATGGATGTTATCTTTGGATCCTATGGTGGAGGGAGAGAAGATGATTTGTACTTCTATGATTCTATGCAATATGACAGTCATTTTGGAAAAGAAAGGCTGTACTATGTTTTCATTTTGGGAGCATAAATTTCTTTATAAATATATTTATTTGATTTTCAGTTATAAAGGAGTGATCCCAGCAATATGAGGATAAAATTTTAAGAAAATTTTTACACTCTATGAATGAATTTCATATCTATCATTGAAAGAATTCTGTTATTGAAAAAATTTCATGCACATCAGTGTCTTTTGCTGCAAGAAACATAATTGTACTTTAGTTAATTTATTCCTGCTCTGAAAAAGTAGTGAAATTAATTCTAGTACAGAATACAAAGTTTCTTTGTATTTGTTTTGTGATTGAGCAAAAATATCTTTTAAAGAAGACGAGTTCCCAGGGTTGGCCTGGGACAGTGACTGGGCCAAATGCCTGGGACAAGTCGGGTTCCACTGTTCTCAAAGCTGAAACATACAGCAGCATTCCTGGCATCAGAAGCAACTTTATCTTCATCACAATTTTATGTTTCTGCCTGTGTGATCAGGATGATCTTTACTCATCCTTATTCATTTATTCTCCACATTTCACATGGGAAGTGTGAATTTGATCCCTGTTCTGCATTTGATACTCTTGAAAGATTTTTACCTGAACTGTTCAGGTAGGTAATTTTTGTTTAAAATGAGGATTTCCTTCTGATGTTACTAAAATGCTGCATTTTGTATTGTTCAGGAAGGAGTGGGACTTTGCAATCCTCTTGCCCCAAGGCCACATGCCTTGTTCTTTACTTGTGGAGAGATCCGAATGCGTGCTGGGAACTGAATTAGTCAGGATCATACCCAGTCATTAAGTTGAACTATTATTATTAACCAGAGTTAAGAAACAAGGGCTTCTGCCTCCAATTCTCTTATTGCAGTGTCCGGGTTCTGTTCCTCTCCGCAGGCAAGTGCGGCAGTGCAAGAGCTTGCTAAGGGTTATAGGCTTAATTAGTGGCATTTTTTTTTTAATCTGTGATTAAATGCTTATGTGGACCTGAGTACATTAAGAGTTCATCTATTCCTTAGATGGTAAGTAAGTTAAGGGAAGAGGCCTTTCGCCCTAGGAAAGTGTGCCTCCCACGCCTTTGAATAATAAACTTTCCACATTTACATATAAACCTTCCACCACAAATACAGAATCGGATGCAGATTCCTTGGGCAATGTGTGCTGAGCTCTGAACAGCTCTGGGCAGTGAACTCTTGGACAGCAGGGATTCTCTCTTCCTCAGTTTTATGCCAAACTATACTTTTTCTCAGCTTACCCAGAAATAGATGAATGATGCTAAAGAGAGCTGAGTCCACAGATGAAGTTAAGGGCTACTACAGCTACACAGCTGAGTGGAATATCTGCTCTGGAACAAACCACAAGACCTCTTTTTTCATTCTACTGATCACTTCACTTAATCACTTAATCCCCGTTATTCATCGATTTACTCGAGTGGGTGCCAGTAACGTCTCCCTTCATCCCGGTTGCGTGCTAGCGTAGCCCAATGGTATTTGTTCGTTCTAGGAACATGCAGAGCCTCAAACTGATCATTCAGGGTCTTGACGAAGAAGTCTGACCATCTTGTAGGTGGGCGTCCACGTGATTTTTTGATGTCCCGTGGAATCCAATCAGTAATGGCTCTAGTCCAGCGGTTGTCTGTAAACCTCATTACGTGTCCAGCCCATCTGATTTTTGATGTCTTGGCAAATGAGACAGCGTCCCTGATTCTTGAGTGTTGACGAAGATCAGAACTCCGGATTTTATCTCTCATTTGAGTGAATCGTGATATTCCAAGCATAGCTCTTTCGATTCCTCTTTGAGAGACATTCTACTGATGAAGACAGAAATATCAACAATAATACGGGATCAGGGCAACAGCTCAAAGGGATGGGCACCGGCCTTGATCAAATCCCAGCCCCCGTACAGTATGGCCTTCCAGGTACTGCTGGGGTGACCCTGAGCACTGAACTGGGAGTAGAGCCTAAGTACCACCAGGTGTGGCCCAAAAGCCAGAAAAAAAAAAAAGGAATCAGGATTTAACCAAAGATGACACAGAGCTATGTTTGGGAACAAAGGCCTACTGTAGTTCTGGCATCACTTGGCATAAGCCCTGACCTTGTTTGTTCTCTTGTAGAGTTGCTGTTTGATAGCACATGATATTAGCTCGCTCTCTCTCTCTCTCTCTCTCTCTCTCTCTCTCTCTCTCTGTATTTCCTGTACATTTTCTTAGAAAGGTATATGCCTCACTATCAGTTCTGGATATGCTGTAATTTAAGTTGAACTTTAACTTACTTGTATCATTAAAGCTGTCACTTGGGGGCCAGAGAAATACAGCAGGTATCGCACTGACCCTGCACATGACCGACTATGGTTTGTCCCCAGCACTACATAGGGTCTCCTGAGCCCTGCCAGCAGTGATCCTTGTGTGCA